AGCCTCAGCAACAGGCTGGGGGGGTTAGAAGCCGAGACCCCCTCCCCCATATCAAGGGGGGCTGAGGCATCCTAGGCCTGCCCTGTAACCTGATGACATCTGGGCTGGGCTGTATACCGAAGAAGCAATAAACCACCTCTATTCTATTGGCTGGCGGAGTCTGTTCATGCCATTTCGGGGGTGCAGGAAACGGGGGACCCCCAACGTGCCATCACAGGCTGGCACATCGGATCCCTCAGAACTGGACTGAAGTCACCAATTTACTTCAGATACCGGCCAGTTCCAAAGATTTGAAGTGTAGGAATGATTTCAGATTACACCTTTATTCGGCTCTGGTGAGGCCACATCTGGAGTACTGCGTCCAGTTCTGGGCCCCCCTCTATAGAAAGGGTGTGGACGCATTGGAGAGGGTCCAGCAGAGGGCAACCAAAATGATTAGGGGGCTACAGCACATGACCTATGAGGGGAAGCTGAGGGATTTGGGCTTATTTAGTCTGCAGAAGAGAAAAGTGAGGGGGGATTTGATAGCAGCCTTCAAGTTCCTGAAGGGAGGTTCCAAAGAGGATGGAGAGAGGCTGTTCTCAGTAGTGGCAGATGGCAAAACAAGGAGCAATGGTCTCAAGTTACAGTGGGGGAGGTCTAGGTTGGATATTAGAAAAAATTATTTAACTAGCAGGGTGGTGAAGCACTGGGATGGGTTACCTAGGGAGGTGGTGGAATCTCCATTCCTAGAAGTTTTTAAGTCTCGGCTTGACAAAGCCCTGGCTGGGTTGATTTAGTTGGGATTGGTCCTGTTTTGGGCAAGGGCTGGACTTGATAACCTCCTTAGGTCTCTTCCAGCCCTAGGATTCTATGATTACAGGCCATCCTTCACTGCATTCATAGGCTTGACCTACCAATGAAAATGTTATTTTCAGTTACTATTTCTCTTCTGTCTCAGAAGGGTAGCCATATTAGTCCATAACTTTAAAACAATAGGCAGTCCTGTGGCACCTTAGAGACTAACGCAAATATATATATATAGTGTCATTAGTTTTTGTGGGCAAAAAACTCATCTAAAGAAGTGGGTTTTCCCCACGAAAACTCATGATACTATATATATATTTTGTGAGTTGCTAGCGTGCCACAGGACTACTCATTATTTCCCTTTTGGTTTGCTTGGCATTTGCCATTTTATTAAATGTAAAGGTAAAATAGGCATCAGAGAATGAAATGCACCTGAGCATTTTAAGACTGAGCTGCCAGGACCAAATTCAGCCCTGGCATAATGGTACTCACTCCAGGGTTAAATTTGTTCCTTGGCCTTTTGCCTGGTGTGATCTGCCTCCCACACATGCCTTAGAGGGTCACAATTAGGAACTTTTTTAAAACTGTAAAGCTTATCTGTGTGTTTTCATCATTCAAGATGACATGGAAGTTTTACTCCACATTACTTCATCATGGCCCGATTCACCAAAGCACTTAGGGTGTGTCTAGACTGGCAAGATTTTGCACAAAAACTTGCCAGCTGTCTACACTGGCCGCTTGAATTTGCGCAAGAGCACTGACCAAAATTTGTAATGTACAAAATCAGTGCTTCTTGCGCAAATACTTTCACGCTCCCGCTCGGGAAAAAGCCCTTTTGCGTGAGAATACTTGTGCAAGAGGGCCAGTGTAGACAGGGAAGAACTGTTTTGCGCAAAAAAGCCCCGATGGCTAAAATGGCGATCGGGGATTTCTTGCGCAAAATCGCGTCTAGACAGGGAAGAACTGTTTTGCGCAAAAAAGCCCCGATGGCTAAAATGGCGATCGGGGATTTCTTGCGCAAAATCGCGTCTAGACAGGGAAGAACTGTTTTGCGCAAAAAAGCCCCGATGGCTAAAATGGCGATCGGGGATTTCTTGCGCAAAATCGCGTCTAGACAGGGAAGAACTGTTTTGCGCAAAAAAGCCCCGATGGCCACATGAATAATCCTGTTTACTTTAATGGGACTCCTGAATCAGGGTCCATATATTGTCTGAAATATGCCTGGATTTAAAATTTATCCTAGATACTGGCCTGGGATCAGATATCTTAACTTTCCAAAGGACAAAACAACTACCAGATCAGGACAAATCCCTAAATCATCACATTTTAAAAACTGAAATAAAGCAAAGAAATTAATTTGTTGCCAAAAGTATATTGTCTTAAAAACATCCTCTTATGTCCCAATTTGTAATATTTACTTTCCGTTTATTTAATAACAGGAAAAGGTTTGCAGCTCCTTTTGTTGAGTTTTACATGTCAGCATGTCCTATGGCTTTTTTCAAAATTTAATTTTGTCAGAAAAAACTCATATGGCACACTATACTAGGAAATACTCTTTATTTTAAATACATTTATGAGCAGGCAAAGGCAAACAAATGCTTCCCATAAACCGGTGGAAGTACCCTTATAATGGACTGATGCCTGGGCCTTCTGCCGCTCCTTTTTCTTCATCATTGCTACGTTCTCTCTCGTGATCTTATTACTTCGCTGCTCTTTTTACAAAACCAAGATTTGTATTGTTTATCCTTCCCCGCCCCCCGTGCCCACTGGGAATCTCCATCTCCCAGTGGCTCAGCTTGACTCAGCACGAGATGTTGCTCGTGCATGGGGAGTGCCCACTGGTGGATACATAGGACCAGACTTTGGTGTGTTTCTGCAACTGAGCTGAATGTCATAAAAGCCATGAAGTGGGGCTCATGGGTTGCTTTTGGATTCTGTGCCTCTATACATATGGGCTATCTCTAGGCCTGTAGATGGGGAAGGGAAGGGCAAAGCGGGCAATTGCCCCAGGGCCTGGTGATTCAAAAGGGCTCAGAGCTGCTATCCACCACTGCTACTACTACTGCAACAGTAGCCAGAGTCCCGGGCCCTTTAAATCACTGCCAGAGCCCTGGATGATGTGCTCAAGGTGGCACTAAGGGATGGCAGCAGGGGATGGAAATGTGGTCTGGGCAGCACTGAGCTTCCAGCCCCACTTCTTCTGCCTGAGGCCTGTCCCTTCCAGGAGTACCAAATCTCCCCCCCTCCCCCGGATCCCCGTTGGCTCCCGTGCCTACCTCTAGTTGTTGTGATCAGCTATATTAGGGTATGTCTACACTAGCTCCTTAGTTCGAGCTAGGTAGGCAAATGAGGGCAACTGGAGTTGCAAATGAAGCCCAGGATTTAAATATCCTGGGCTTCATTTGCATGTCCCCCGGGCACCACCATTTTTAAATTCCCCTTAGTCCAAACTCTGTGCCCGTGGCTACACACGGCACAGAGTAGGTAGTTCGAATTAGAGATCCTAATTCGAACTACCGTTACTCCTTGTGGAACGGTACTAATTCAAACTACCTACTCCGTGCCGCTCATGATAGACCAAGTCATGATAGACCAAGCCTAGTTCTCTTATGCTGTGTCCAGACTCAAGGGTTTTTTCGAAAAAAAGTAGCCCTTTTTCAAAAAAACTTCACCTGCGACTAGACTACAGCCGCGTTCTTTCGAAATTAAATCGAAAGAACGCGGCTTTTCTTTTGACGGCGGAAAACCTCATTTCACGAGGAAGAACGCCTTTTTTCGAAAGTGCTCTTTTGAAAAAAGGCGTTCTTGAATGCAAACAGGGCTTTTTCGAAAGAGAGCATCCAGACTGCCTGGGTGCTATCTTTCGAAAAAGCGGCTTGCTTTTTCGAAAGTACTGCTTGCAGTCTAGACGCTCTTTTTCGAAAGAGGCTTTTTCAAAAGTATCTTTCGAAAAAGCCTCTTTCGAAAGAGGCTTGCAGTCTAGATGTAGCCTTAATGGTTATAATACACTTTAATTTTGTTTTGATATGAATAAGACAGAAAAACCAGTGATAACTGGTTTCCCTAACTTGGGTTTTAAGTGTAATCCAGATGAGACCTTAGTTAGAATGTTTAGCTTTCATGTGCTTTGTTTAAAAAAGGAAATATCTCAAAAGTAGGTTTATATGACTTATAGCTTCAGTGTGACAGGGTGTTCGCCCTGCACTGGCCCTTTAAGAGCAAACCCAGGCCGGAGGCAGGGTCTGGGAGTTTGGCCCCAGCTGAGGCCATGTTAGCTGATTGGGGCCCAGCTGGGAACCATATAAGACTAGGGGCTGCCCCTCCTGGAGGGAGGGCAGTGAGAGCCTGGTTGCTGGGGGTCTAAGAAGTTCCCTGGAGCTAAGGCAAGGCAAGGCAAGGCGAGGCGAGCTCTGGCCAAGTAAACCCCCAGACTGCAGGGCCTGAAGAAAGGCGCCCAGAAGAAACAACAACCCCCTGAAGGGGGGCTCAGAGCCTGATGTGGGCAGTGTCCTGAAGAGAACGCCACGGCCTGGAGGAAAGAGGGGAAACACCTCCGGAGGGAAGGTACCCCGCTAGCAGAAGGAGCTAATTCCGGAGACAGACAGCAAGGGGTGCTATGGTGGTGAGTGACCCCCCTCACACTCAGGTATGTGGCAAATCCTGCCCCTTCTTCTTTCTTAAGCCACGGAAGAAATCCTTGTCTTGGAATCCTCAGAAGGTAGTAGAGAGCTAGGATTTGGGGGGTATTTGTAAATCTATGGTCCAGGGCCTTTGTGAGCAGTACACCCACTTAGAAGTGCTCCAGATTTCAGAGGATATATTTCAATTTGAAAATTTCCAGTTTGTTGACCCTTTACAAGACTGGTATACCTTAGTGCACCTGACTGATAAATGTTACTGCATTCCTAAAGGCTGTTTTATTGCGAGATTGTGTTTTTTGCATATTTATGCTCACACAGTGTAAAATGTATACTAAGCTACAGTGTGATGGTTCCCCACCCCCAGCATGTTTATGAAATGGACTTATGGACACACACATGCATACCTTGAAGATGCTTTGGACAAAATATCAATCTAATGTCACAATATGCTGGATCTGTATATCTTATTTTGGTGTATGTATCATTCTTGTATGTAGAGTTAGAAATATGGACTATGGAATGGTTTATGGTTTTAAATGTACAAATGAAAGCTATCAAGGGTGTTTCCTTCAATGTCTGGGTGGTCACCTGTAAATAGCCTCTTTTGTCTTTATGTCTTAGCAGTGGTTGGTCTTAGGAAGTCATGTGGCCACCCTAACTGGTAGGGTCTGACTGGGTAATTTTCCATGGAAGGGCGGAATTAGAGACAAAGAATTCCCACCTGAAAGAGAAGGCTATTTAAGGTCCTTTGTCTTTGGCTTGCATGTCATTCCCAAGAGAGTGTATCAGAGACCCCAGGGCAAAAGATCTTCCCTGGCTTGGAGAGTTAGCTGAAATAAGGACAGTTTTAGGGTAAGTTTGTAATGAGCTGTCAGTGTTAGAACTAGCTATGTGTTTTCTGTTATTTTAAATGTGTAATCTACTTTGCTCCTGTTTTCACTTGCCACCACTTAAATCCTACTGCTTGTACTTACTAAAATCACTTTTATTTACTATTAAGCCCAGTGTGAATGACTGTTACCTGGGGGAGCAAACAGTATGTCCATCCTCTCATTGTTAAGGGGCGATTACCTGAATGATTTATTTGAGGTTCTGATCCCATTTGGAGGTTGGGTTCCTGGAAGCTGAGCCCAAAACTATGTTCTCCTCAAACCTGAAAAGATTCAGTGTCCGTCTTGCTCCTTGGGGAAATTCATCTCAGCTCTGTGCCTTGGCTGGGGGAGACAAGTTCTGGCTCAGCAGGACAGGGCGATGAGAAGCCCCGGATAGCAAGGAGGTGAGTGTCAGTGGTTTTATCAGCACATTGGGAAGCACTCCCAATGGGTCTTCTGTGACTGCCCACCATCATAGAACAGTTAACTTACTCTGGCCCTGGCTTCATAAATTTTAAGAGGCATTCAGTAAGAGGCATTGTCCTTTTCATATGTGTTCATTTTTTTAATTGTATCCTTTGGTATATATGGTTGTGACTATTTTCTTCCACTATTTGATCTGAGGAAGTGGGTCTGGCCCACAAAAGCTCATCAGGGGGGAGGGATGGCTTAGTGGTTTGCACATTAGCCTGCTAAACCCAGGGTTGTGAGTTCAATCCTTGTGGAGGCCATTTAGGGATTTGGGGCAGAAATTGTCAGGGATGGTACTTGGTCCTGCTGAGAAGGCAGCAGACTGGACTTGATGACCTTTCAAGGTCCCTTCCAGTTCTAGGAGATAGGCAATCTCCATTATTAAATCTAATAAACCATCTTGTTAGTCTTTAAAGTGCTACATAGTCCTGCATTTTGCTTCAGTAAAAGACTTTGTGTTACTGCACTTGAATGCTAACAGTCCAGTCACTGCAATACATGACTCTGTTATGAAATCTACTGTGCTGATTAATGATCTGATTAGATGTCATGTTACAAAGAAAGAATCTGATTAACAGCCACATGACTGCTGGCTATTTGCTCTTTCAGATACAAATATACAAAGTGAATATAAACAGAATGTCCCTACAAAACTATACACAGGCTTGGAAGAACAACCATAGATTTTAATGGGTAAATCTTGATTTCACCAAATACACACAAACTGACAATAATAGTAGAAATTTATAAATAGGCAAAGTAAAAAAAATGCTAGTTAAGAATTTAGTAGAATTTGATTTAAGGATATTTACTTTGTTTATTTTGACAGTGATGTTGACAATTTGTGTTTTAATTGTTGTAAAGTTTTAGCTGTTTGAATCTGTGTCCACTATCATTAAATAATAATTGTCTTGCACCCCAAGTATCTGATCTCCCATACTATGAAGGCTGGAAAAAAATTCAGTAAAAGCTAAAGTTAAAATGAACATAAATATTATCTGTTGAAATTTAAAAACAAAATCAAATTCTGCCAAATCTAATTATACCTGTGTATAACACAAGTTTGTGTTATACCTCACCCTTTTACTGACAATAGTAAGCAACAACAAACTACATTGACCAAACCGTATAATTTACTGATCTGAAGTATAGTAGATAATTTTTTTCAATATCTAACGTACTTTGTATAAGCAATTTCCATCCTGTTTTATTCTGAAATTCAAGCAAAACAAAGGATATCTTGATCTTAACTTGTGTTAAACTTTAAAAAACAACAAATAGTCTAGTAGCACCTTAAAGACTAACCAAACACAGAGATGGTATCATGAGCTTTCATGGGCACAACCCACTTCTTCGGATGACAGTCTTCACTACTACAACAACTCTTGTGGTCTTACTGACACCCCATCTCACCATCCTCAAATCCATTCAAACACAGTCAGTAAGAATATTTTATATTTTTTAAAAAGTTATTCTCACTTGAAATGGGAAGGTTACTAGAGTTCTTCGAGATGAGTGTCTTGGGGTACTCTACTCCAATTGTTGGTGCATCTCTGGGCCTTAGATCAGAAAGTTTTGTAGCATTGTCCTTTTGGACCATGCACATCATTGTCTGTCGACATATCACACGCCTAATGTAAACATGGCTTTAGATGCTTAACAGGGCAGAGACTGTGTTTAAAGATGTGTAATGGAGTCTCAATCCCACTTGAATACTTGGGCATTATGTACTTGGGCATTATGTACTGCAAATACATAACATGATGGTAATATATGTATCATTTATTTTAAAGCTAAATGTAAATTGTAGAAACTAGATGATCCCAAACTAACAGAATATTATTGTAGATTTTTATGTCAAAGTCATGCAATTAATTAAAAACAAGACTTGAAATCACTTACACTGGAGAAATGAGTAACAGCTAATGACTTCACAAACATCTACAAATGTGCAGGACGTGCAGTTGCCATTTGCTACTGTAAAAGAACACTGACCTCAAGCAAAAAAACTTTGAATTAAACTTTAAATTCAGAATAAAAAAAAATCTATGTACACTTAGCACACCTTACTGTGCTGAGCACCAAGTTTACTTCACATGCCATTTTTTATAATCTACTCCGAGTCAAGTATTAAACAAGTATATTATTTACAAACATTTATTTCACCACAAATTTACCTTGCCAAAAGGAATTAAATGGTTACACATTAAAACCATTTTATATGCATGATACCCAACAGTAAACATTAGTATATACTATTGTAAAACTATTTCTGTTTTATATAGGGGGAAACAAATTGAGGCTTAAAAGGTAAAGGAACAGGCCGCTCCAGAGAAGGAGGGAGGGCTAAATACACTGAGGATTTAATGGAGCTCTCGTTTACTGATTAAGTGATTCAGATGCAACTAATTTTTTTTTTAATTCTTAACTTAAATTCTAAATATCAGTATATGATTTTACTTACAATGGTTAGAGCATGGGTTCCCAAACTGGGGTGTGTGCTGGTGTGTGTGTGGGGGGAGAGGCGGGAGGGAGGCATGAGTTTTTCAAAAATCAAAAAGGGGGCATGAAGCTGAAAAGTTTGGGAACCACTGGGTTACAGGTTTAGTTGCTGTAATTAGAGAAATAATTTTGGTTAAAACGGGGGACTGGAAGTCAGGACTTCTACATGTTAATCCTGAGTGCCATTTACTTGCTGAGAACTTTTTGGAGTAGGGGGCATGGGAATTGGAGAAAGTCGCTGAATTTCTTTCTGCCTCAGTTTCCTCATCTATCAAATGAACCTAATAATAGCTGTCTGTCACAGGTCCAGCTGCAATTCTGTTGCCTTCCTGGTCTCTTCCCCTCATGCTGACAGACTTTGTGCCTTTGCTCAGAGTGGAATTCTGCAGCTCTCTCAGCCTTAAGACAATAACCTGTGTATCAACTGTGTTTACCCAGCAGGAACAGTTGGGTTTGACACCTGCAGTCCTGTGAATGTGGGAGCCTGTGAGTGGTGCAGGCACCTTTCTTAATCATGTTTATTCTCACAGTAGGAACAAACCATAAGAGGAAAAGGATTTATAAACAAGAACTTATAAGCACGTCTCTTACCTAAGGCCTGCCATCCCCTGACGATAATCTAAGGCAGGACCATCTTCTTTAGACACCCCCCCGGTAGGTGTTTGTATCAGTCAGGTTTTCCTGGAACATGTTTAACAATTATCTTCTGCTTTTTTGAGAGACACTTTCTGAATGTCAAGTCTTTTGATCTTCGTACATTCTCAGGTCTTTTCTTGTCTAGCACTGAGTTGTAACAATACTATAGTTTTTACTGAGGGGTGGCATATCTTAAACCATTGTTTTCCTTCTCTTTTTTTTTCCAGAGAAATCCTATAGTGCTAACTGCAAATTTTCATGCAGTTCGCATTCCAACAAACAATACAACAAACAAATGTTCATTAATTACTACAGCAGCTATGTATCTGTCACACTGTCTATTACACAGGAGTGTTGGGAGGCTAAATTAATTATTTTGAAAAACATCTGGAGATTCCTGGCTGACCCCCATGACACATTATTTTTTGTCCAGATTTATATATCTTAAATCACATAGCTGTACTCTGGAAAGTAGTGGCTCCATCTTACTTTTTTCAAAAGTGTCACCTTCTTTCTTTTTTGTATATTCAGAGTCATATTGATAACCAGAATGTTTATATGCTGCCTTTCACACCTGCTCGCCAGCCTTTGCAAAAGAATTGTTTACTAAGTTCCAATCAGCTACTTCTGCTTAACCGGACGAGAAGTAATAGTTTTACACAGAGGTCATTGAAGGCATATCCTGAAGATAATGGTGGTATGTGAGGGTTGTCAACCTCCCTGAAGCTATTCAGGGAGATCGCTCTCCTCCCTACCCCAGAATGTCATTTTTCTTAAAATATCCTATTAATCTACAACATCATCTGAGGAAGTGGGTTTTGCCCACGAAAGCTCATGATACTGTATATGTATTTTTATTAGTCTCTAACATGCTACAGGACTACTAATTTTTTTAAAGTTACAGACTATACGGCTACCCCTCTGAGACTAATAGTCACTGGGAGAATAATAGCAATTCCAAGAGACCCCAGGGCAATCCTGGAGGGTTGTCAAGCCTATGCTGTGTGGGTGGATGTATTTAGGGAACTAATTTGGGCTTCTGATCCTTTTCTGCTTGTGATACTGTGTAAGATGTTAAGATCCTAGCTTGATATTCAGAACACAAGTTGAATCTGCTGAGCTGCCAATTAGAATGTTTTTATTAATATTATTGTAAATGGAGCATTTTAAGTGCTTGTCCTGCAAACACTAAAGCACTTTTTACAAGAAACCCCACCCAACACACTGTTACGTATTTGACTGAAGTTATGCACCTGCATAAATGTTTTTCAGAGTTAGGCCCCCCATTATGAAAATCACACAGATGATGATAAATGTGGAACTTCATAACACCAAACCTTTCACAAAACTTGATATAACAAGAATAAAATCTTAAGATACACGTGAACTTATGCACATCGATATTCTTGTATCAAAGAGTTCCAGTACAGTATTCCTTCTGTATGTTCATTTACTATTATCATTTCTGGCTCTCAACATGATCAATATTCATTAACATGCCATCTATTCTGCCAAGAACAACCTTATATCATGTGATCGGTATTTTCATGATGGTAAGCTGTAAAGCTTACTGAAATGCATTTTTAAGCACCAATCTGTTCTTGGGTTTAGAGCACACAAGTACAGGAAGAGCTGAAAAACATTGGTTTAGGTATTGTAAATACTCTTAGAAAAAATCCATTTAAATTCAAAAGGCCACATCGGCAGCTGACATATTTTGCCATGGCTTTCTTGCTGGCTGATATATAACAGCTGAGAGGCTGGCCAAGTCCCTGTGACCATTAGATCAAATTCTATTCTCTGATGATAATCCAGCCTCACTGAATGTAATGGTATTGCACTGGGGTAATGGTATTGCACTGAGGTAACAGAAGAAGGGTTAGCTCAATATATTTAAACAATGGGCACCTTCTGTAATTGCAAACATTAAACTATATGTGGACAGATAAAGAATTAAATTCTTTATTTCCTAGAAAGTCCCATGCAGGCAGAAGGAACTCATGACCTTCAGAAGTTGAGATGTCTGCTGAATACAGAAAATCTACAACATACACCCTCCAGGTTTTTGTTTAAGGATTAAAAAAATGTGTAACAGAAGTAGAATGCACAGTGGCATTCAGATGCCATTAAAATTGATTAAATGCCATTATCAAGAGCAAGTTCTTGCTTTTCAATGAATGTTATAATTATTAATTAGGAAAAGATAGAATGTGGTTGCCCCTTACAAATACGGGAGCATAGAGAGCCATTCAAATGGTTTGAACAGCAGCGTTTCCATGTCATTCAATTTGTTAGACGTTTCAGACTATTTTTTTCACTAATTCTCTAAGGGTACATCTACACTGCACCCTAACTTAAAATAAGATACACAATTTGCGCTATGCAAATTGTGTATCTTATTTTGATTCTACTTCAAAATAGCTTATTTTGAAATTTGGCACATCTACACAGCGCCACATTTTGAAATAACGCACTATTTTGAGACATCCCTTAACCCTTGTGGAAGGAAGATTGCAGGGATGCCAAAATAGTGCACCTATTTTGAAAAAATATTTCGAAAGAATGGGCAGATTATTAAGATGTGGGGTAGCTATTTTGGGATATCTCTGGTATCCCGAAATAGCTGTGCTGTGTAGATGTACCCTTACTGATGTTGTTTTATCTGCTACCTAACGTGCACATATTAAGCACAGACTCTTAAAGAACATGAAGTCCAGTGTTGCTGACATCCAAATAAGGAAACAGTTTTTAAGAACTGCTAGAAACAGTCTTATGTCCCCTACCTATGATCAGATAATAAAAATTCCCTCTGAAAGCTGTAGTATTGTTCTGAAACCAAAGTATCAAAATAAATTCATGAAGCTATGATTCAACTATTTAGCCATCAGCAGCTCATTTGAAATGCCCAGATAGATCAGGTGGCATGAAAAGAAAACATTATCCAAAAAGAAGGGAGCATTCCTGTGTGCTAAAGCATTAGTTGGTAGCATGACCTTGAACAACCTAATTGGCAGACCTTAGAGTTTGAGAAATGAGCTGTTACAACACATATTAATGGCATAGTTATCACATGATAACCAATGTCAAGTAATGTGTATTAATGGGAAGTCCTGGGATTACAAACTATTAACACAACCCGTTGCAAGATTTCAGAGAGATTGCATCAATTCTTTCTGTGGGTGCATGATTCCCTTGAGCCAACATTGTATATTTTTAAAAATTGATTTGTGGTTGAATTTGGATGCTTGGAATAAGTAAAACAGCAATTGGTTGTTATGCAAGGTTAACCCATTTTCCCCACATGTACTTTCGTTTCCCAAGGATGCCACATGCTTTGACCTTTCCAGTTTGTTTTTTATAGGCACCATACTCCACCAGACATGGTTATGAGCTAGCAATAAAAACATCTGAATTATGCTTGTGCTTTTCCATTTACTCAGTATATGACCTGTGTAAGTCACAGCCACTCGCTGCCTCAGGATCCCCATTTTACAGATGTGGAAAATGTTACTTATCCACTTCTGTAAAGTGCTTTGGGAGCTGGAGAGGAAAAGAACTGTTAGGGTGCATCTACACTGCAGTGCTAGCTCAGAATAAGCTACCCAATTTGAGCTACACAAATTGCATAGCTTCTTTTGAGCTTATATTGAGAGAGTCTATTTTGAAATTTGGTGCTGCCTATACAGTGCCAAATTCCGAAATAGACCAATATTCCAACAAGTCCCTTAATCCTTGTGGAACGAGGTTTACCGGGCTGTCAGAATGGCATGCCCATTATTTTGATTGCATTTCGAAATAACAGATGTGCTATAAAGACACAAATGAAATTCATGGAATTTCAGATACTGGATGTGTCCTGAAATAGCGTCGTTGTCTAGACATACCCTTACTGATGGATAATCATTTCCTGATAGGAGTTTTGAAAACAATTGTGGATTCATAACAAGAATAAGGATTCCTAAGATGAACAGCATCTGTCTAAATGCAAACATACTTTTCCAGCCCATTAAATATATATTATGCTATTATATTAGCTCCATAAGACTCATTTTACTTTATATGGGATATCCTGGTCTCTCAGGTAAACAGGTTTTTTTAAAAATATTTGTAGACTATGTATTCACTTGACAAAACTGGTGTGGTCATTTTGGTAAATGATCTGCCTTTTAGAAATGTTCATGAAAGGTTTTTTTATTTCTTTGTTTCTTAACACATAGTTACAAGGAAATAAAACCATTCCTAGCCACATACTTTTCAATGTGCAGGTTACAGTACACTGTAAAGAGACAGGAAATGTTGAATCATTTATAAGATCATACTTTAATTCTTCACTCAGAGTATGGCTACACTGCCTTTCCTTATGGAAGAGGATATGCAAATCACACTTCATTTGCATATCATCTTCCAATTTCTTTTTGTGGAAGAGGCTTTGCCACTAAAGCCCTGTGTAGACAGAGCCATTTGTGGGGGGGGGGAACCTTTTTTGCAAGATCCTGTAAACCTCAATTTTTGAGATTTTTATCCTAGCAGCACCAGCTCGAGTAGTAGACTATGTGTTTGAGATATAGAATAGTCCACGGGTTTAATTGCGTCCTGGGTTGGGGGAGGGCGCATGTGCGGCCCCGCCCCTGTGCCGGCATGTGGGGGAGGGCGCACGGAGCTGGCAGCGGCAGGACGCACGTGCCCAGCCCGGCCCTGCCCAGCTACCACCACTGGCGCGCAGCCTGGGGCAGGCCGAGCCTGGCCGTGCAGGGCCCCACAGCTGCAGGGAGAAGGGTGCTGCTGGCCGGTGCTGTGGGGGTTAACGTGGCCCCCACCCCGAGCAGCCACTGCAGGGTGGCCGCTGGGACCTGCTGCAGCCTGCGATCTGGGAGCCCCAGCTGCCCGGCTAGCCTATGCCTTAATCCGGCCCTATCTGTGTGTCTGTTTGCAAGTCTGATTAAGTACTCCTCCTAAACAATAAGCTAGGACCACCACATTTGGTATGCAGCTTCCTCCTTTATCCTAACTGAAAAGCAAGGCCACAGTTTGACTGAAGGAAAACAGGGTGTTCCTGGAATTCGATTGTTTTCCATAACATAGAAAGGGAGGGGCACAGAGAGGAGGGAAGCAATACAGTCACCACAGGGGCAGCAAGTGCAGGGGACAGCTATCCTGCAGAGTGACCACTGAGGACAGCCACATCACCAAGGGAGTGGCCTGCTAGGGTCCAGCTTGCCAACTTTCCCATCACTAGCCCGGGTAAGTGGCCCCCAAAGCCCCAGTGCCAGACTGGGGGGAGGGGAAGCACTGCCAGACCCACTGTCATGCTCCCGCACTCAAGAGCACCACCTAGGTGAGGCAGTGCATCCCCAACCCACTCACAGGACTCACCAGTGGTCTCCCTGGCCGTGTTGCCAGGCCATCCAGTACGCCCATGATTGGCCAGTCTACACAGCCCCCACTTCACCCCTGCCCCCAAGGAGTTCTGACAGGGCAGGCTTGTGTGATTCCTCCCTTCCCCCTGCTCCCAGGCTGGGCCTCAGGAGCGCTGGCAGGGAAGGCCTGTGCAGCACCCCCTTTCCATGTAGAACTAGCAGGGGAAGCCTGCACAATGCCTCCTTCTCCTCCCCTCCTCTGCACCTAGGCTGGCACCAGGGAGCACTGGCAGGAGAGCCCTGCGTGGGCCTCCTCTCCTCTCCACCCCTAGGCTGGGCCTGGGGAGTGCCAGCGGGGGAAGTTTGTGCGGGCAATGTGTGGACAATGTTGGGTAAGTCTTCTAGTAAAGTATAAAACACCTACATTCGCAAGGTGCAAGATTATTCCTATTACATACACGTACGCCATGTTTGCAAGAATAGTTTCAGGAGGAATAGAGTTAATTGTAATTTAGACTCCTGCCAAAATATCCATGTAGATAATCTCACTCGTGTTTATTCTCCATATCAGCAATTCAAGGAGAGCTCAACTGTTTAGTCTTTGTCACCTCGCATCAATGTTAAATAATTTAAAAGTACAAACACTAACAAAGATGTAAAATAACGATCAGCTTGAACAGGACACCTAACGTTCAAGATGCTGAATGATTCACGAGGAGTTCTTGACGGGTGTGATTTACCTTCCTTTTGTACAAGGCTTGGCATTTTCAGCATTGCATGTCTCATGAAAGAGAGGAGGTACCAATATAGATTTCATAAGAAAAACAGCAGACGACAGTATCTTATCACTCTAGCCAAAACAAAAAGGAGGTGACTAAGTGCTAGCTAGCTCTCTTTAAAGATACATCACTATCTGCCTAATGCCATTGAACAAAAGGCTACAATGTTAGTTTTGCATTACTGTGATAGACAGTATTTTGGTGACAGGAAAAATCAGTCCATAGTCTGCCCCCAGTTACACCTCAAGTCTATGGAAGTCAGCGAGATCTGTAGTCCGCTCTGGGCACAGGGGTCTTGCTGCAGTAGTCAATCCATACGGGCAACATTGCACAACAAGTTTTCTGGGGGAAGGAATCATAGCTTCATTAACTGGAACAGAATATTTAAGTAACATACGCAGGGCGATACTGGATGAAACCAAAGGTCTATCTAGCCCAGTATTCTGTCTGCTGACATTGGCCAATGCCAGATGTCCCAGCGGGGGTGAACAGAACAGGTAATCATCAAGTGATCCTTCTCCTGTCATCCATTGCCAGCCCTGACAAACAGAGGCGAGGGACAAGAGGTAATCATCAAGAGATCCCTCTCCTGTCATCCATTTCCAACCTCTGACAAAGAGAGGCTAGAGATAACTTTCCTACCCATCCTGGCTAATAAGTATTGATGAACCTAACCTCCAGGAATGTACCTAGTTCTTTTTTGAATCCTGCTAAAGTCCAGGTCTTCACAACCTTCTCTGGCAAGGAGTTCCAATGTCAAACAATACCCACATCCAGTATTTTTACCTAAGGCGGTGCCCCAATTTTCTATAAATCAGGATCTTTTCCTCCCAGTTTTCTTTCCTAAGCCACACGCTAATAAAGAACAAACTCTCTGCACTCTGGATAAGAAATGTGCTTTGGTGTTTTATTTAGAGAACAACCCTCCATCTCCATAGCAGAGAGGATAAAGGGTTTGCTAGCCTCCACCCAGCGTAGATCTTCAAGGATCACAGCCTACAT